ACCCATAGCCAGCACAATGCACCCACTCCCTTCTTCCCAACTCCTCTTTGGTTCTCTCAGGTGCCCCCTTGGGTGCCAATTAAGTAGCATGATGAAACTTTTCCTGGGCCTGGCAGTGGTAGCACAGACACCTTTAATCCCAATATTCAGGAGGCAGAGGCAAGTGTACTCTGAGTTTAAGGCCAGCCTGGTTTACAGAGCAAGTTCCAGGACAGCCAGTGTTATACAGAGAAACCATGTCTCAAAACAAACCAATCAACTTTTCCTGGGGGAGAAGAAACACACTTGTCTCTTCATCCCAGATTGGGAACCCACAATGGACTCAAATACAGATACCACCAAAGTCTAGCTTGGTAAACCACGGACATTATTGGGATTAGTTACAGGAGCAGAAATGACTCAAAGACAGTGCACCAAGGCCCACCCCAGCATGGGTGACAGTGGAGCACACTGCAAAGCCTGTAGGCCACTTAACAGGTAAGACAGTGTCCTTTTCAGGAATCTCTTTTGGTCTAAATCTCTTCCCAACAGTTCAGATAGTTTCTGCTTCTTCCAAGCCGCTGGTCTGGTCTCAGAGTCCTGTTTGCAGCTTAGCCAATAGGCAAGACTCGGGCACATAAAACACAAAGAGCCGGGCGGTGGTGGCACACGCCTTTAATCCCAGCACTTGGGAGGCAGAGGCAGGCGGATTTCTGAGTTCAAGGCCAGCCTTGTCTACAGAGTGAGCTCCAGGACAGCCAGGGCTACACAGAGAAACCCTGTCTCAAAAAACCAAAACAAACAAAAAAACACAAAGAAACAAATCTTTATTTGTTCAAAGTATGGGCTGATGAGATGGCTCAGTGTCTAAAGATGCTTGCTGCCAAGGCTGAATGAAGACCAGAGGTCTCCATGATCCACATCTTAGAAGGAGAAAACTGATTCTCAAAAGTTGTCTTCTGATCTCCAATTGTTGCTGTTTTGTTTTTGGTTTTGTTTTTGAGACAGGTACTCACTGTGTAGCTCTGGCTGGCCTTGAACTCTACATGTAGAACAGATAAATTTTAAGTTGAAAATGTAAACGCTGACTCAGTCCCTAAGTAAGACAATGTTCTGGAGAGGAAGAGTCCTGAGACAGGGAAGGAAGAGAAAGTCTAAAGACAAAACCACTGCTACCTCCCTTTCTTTACTGTAGCCTATTTCTCTGTCAGCAATGCTACGGTCCGTAAGTGTCACTTAAATCTGTTTGACATTTGTCACCTGTGTACAATTTTTTCTGAGCCCTGAGGAAGTCAAAATTCAGGATCCCCAGTTCAATTCGAGCGGCAGATAAATGACAGGTAATAATTTAATCAAGTGTGTCCTAGTATTTGAATCATAGCCCTGAGCAGTCAGGGCTGGCACATCACAAACTGGTCCCAAGCAGTTGACTTGGACCATGCTGACCTTGATGTTTATAATTGCTGCCATCTGGTACCAAGCTCTCTCCAGTGTCCTCATCTAGTGCATCGGGTAGAATAGCCCGTGTCATTGGGTTGACATGAATACCACAGGACAGCTTGAGGAAGAATGCTCAGAATAGAGCATGTTAGTGTTGTGTTAGTGATAGCTGTGTTATTCATTTTGTGTTTGTGTATATACAGTGTATTGTGTGCTCACACAAGTGTGTGTTCCTGTGTTTGTGTGTGCCCGCTTTATTGAGGTAGGGTCTCTCACTAAACCTGGAGCTAACCAATTTACAGCTAGTCTGAGTGGCCACCTTGCCCTGGGGATCCTTTGTCTGCTTCTCCAATGCTGGGATTGCAAGAGGCTGTCAGGACGGCCTGGCTCCTTCATGGGCTCTGGAGATCTTAACTCTTATCCTTACCCCGGTACTGCTGGTTTATCCACAGTGCCATCTTCCCAGCCTCATTCATTCATTCATTCATTCATTCATTCATTCATTCATTCATTTCTTGAGATGAAGTTCCCACTGTGTTGCCCTGGCAGCCCTGGAACTCACTACGTTGACCAGGTTGGACTTGAACTCACTAGAATCTGTCTGCCTATTGTCTTCAGAGTGCTGGAGGGATTGCTTTTTTAACATTTTAATTTATTTCTGTGTGTGCTTCCAAGTGCACAGGGCAGATGTGGAAGTCAGAGAACAATTTAGGGAGTTAATTTTTTCCCCTTACTCTGTGGAAAATAAAACTCAGATTTTCATGCTTGGTGGCAGGACCCTTTACCCAATGAGTGATCTTGCTAGGTGTTTGGAGATGGGGGTCTTCTGTGGTACAGGCTAGCCTAGAACTCAATATGAAGTTGAGGATTCTCTTGAACTCCAGATCCTCTTGCCTTCCACCTCCAAAGAGCTGCAATTATAGTGTTTATCATCACATCTGGCTGTATTTAGATTTGTTTTATTTTTCTGAGATTCAGTCTCACTGTATAATCCAGGAGGATCTGCTCCAAACTCAGGATCCTCTTGCCTTACCCTCCTGAACGTCACCATGCTGAGAGGGGCTGGTGCGTTATTCATAACCATATATAATACACAGGGGTACAATGAGTTTAGTCCTAACAGCAGACCTAAAACATTGGAGTTATACTTCCCAATTTTTCAGATAAAGAAGCTGAACATAAAAGAGATAAAGGAGTGCTTAAAGAGGGGAACGATCTGGGATTCAAATCTATTGTGTTTTGGATTCCAAAATCCTTTCTACTCAAAATGCAATTCAAGTCATCAGTGATTCCACTAAGGGAAGACATGGGATAAGGTGGCCTGGAGATTTGGAAGAAATTAGTGTCTATTTCATAGTGTGTGTACATGTGTCTATATGCATATATATGTGTGCATATGTGTATGCTATACGTGCATGTGTCTGTATGCATGTGTCTGTATGCATGTGTACATGTGTCTGTGCTATGTGTGCACATGGATGCCTGAGCATGTGCATGCCCAGGTATGTATAGGCTACAGGCTGACAACCCATATCTTTATCTTTTTATATGTTTGTTTGGTTGTTTGTTTATTGTGTGAGTCTCTCTTTGAACCTGGAACTCACCTATTTGGCTAAGCTGGCTGACCAATGAGATCCGTCTCAGCAGCCTCTGCAGTGAGATTACAAATGCTTAGTGGGGCCGGGCGGTGGTGGCGCACGCCTTTAATCCCAGCACTCGGGAGGCAGAGGCAGGCGGATTTCTGAGTTCGAGGCCAGCCTGGTCTACAGAGTGAGTTCCAGGACAGCCCGGGCTATACAGAGAAACCCTGTCTCGAAAAACCAAAAAAAAAAAAAAAAAAAAAAAACAAATGCTTAGTGGGCAACCAGCACCTGGTTTTATTTTTTTTTTCGAGTTAAGTTTTGATTTTTTTGACATCTCCATTATACAGTCCACGCTGGCTTCAAAATCACAGTCATCTGGCCTAAATCTCCAGGATTAAATTTATTTCTGTTTATTTATTTATTTATTTATTTATGGTTTGGGGTTTGTTTGTTTTGTTTTGGTACAGGTTCTCACTATGTAGCCCTGGCTGCCCTGGAACTCGATAAGTAGACCAAGCTGGCCCTGAACACAGAGATCCTCCTGCCTCTGCTTTAACCCTAACCCTAATGCTGTGACTGAAGGGACGAGCCATTTCTCTCCACTAAAAATGTATTGCATTAAAATGTCTTTATTAGGGCCAGGCAGTGGTGGCGCATGCCTTTAATCCCAGCACTTGGGAGGCAGTTGCAGGCGGATTTCTGAGTTCGAGGCCAGCCTGGTCTACAGAGTGAGTTCCAGGACAGCCAGGGCTACACAGAGAAACCCTGTCTCGAAAAACAAAAATAAATAAATAAATTAAATTAAATTCTTTATTGGGGAAGGTTGTCCCTGTGCACATTTGTGGAGGTCAAAGGACAACTTATGAGAGTTGGTTCTCTTCCACCACTCGGGGCCTGGGAATCAAGCAAAAGGCATCAGTAAGGCAGGCAAGCTCATTTACCCACTGAGCCATCACAGACCCACCCCACATCACATTCTTTTAAACACCGGTGTGCTCCTGACCTCCCGTGTGACTCCGGATAAATCACTTAGAGTGTCTACCAGGAGGGAGTGAGGTCTCAAGAAAATCCCAAGCTGCCTGGGGGGTATAGAGCCATGGTACTAAGCACAAGCAGGCCTGCAACGCCTGGGTTCCATACCCATAACCAAGCAAGCAAACATAACAAAGAAGTTGCGCATCAATAGAGCCTGGCTCGCTGGAGGCTTGTAATAAACTAGCCAGCTTGTCTCTCACCTGAGAGTAAGTCTCACCACACCTGGGGCCTAAAATCTCCCGAAGTGCAGGCCAAATCTTACCAGAGAGAATCCTGATCCCACCAAACCTGGATTTTGCCTTCTTCACAGGGACTCATGCTCAAATCAAACCACAATCTGGTCTGCCGAGGAAGAGGCGAGGGACCTGGCCCGAAACCAGCGCCCTCAAGTGATAGGGCACAACAGACGAGGGAGAAAAATGCGTTATTAGGAAATCACCCTGGGGGCGCTGTGAGTCCTGGCGCTGGCTGGCTTGGGACACGGGGATCACATGGAGACCCCTAAGTGTGGGATCCCGTGATGTGCAGAAGCTTTCGGAAGGGGGCGATCCTTGGGCTTGGCCAGCTGAGAGCCAGAGGGCATACGGCCCTGGCTCCTTCCACGCCTCAGTCCGGATCAGGCCCAGGACGTCCCATGTAAATGTGGGGTGGCAGCCCCTCCCCCTGAAGGGAGAAGGTACATCTGGGTTAACATCCCAAAGGCTGCTAGGACAGGACAACGGAGGCCCAAGCGAGGTCTGCAAAGCGGCACACAGCCCGGGAAGACGGAACCTGCCGAGCCTCCGGTGGGCAGGCCTGACAGTGGGCCGGGGTCTGGTGTGAAGGCGAGGCTGACTCCCCGCACGTTGGGGGCGGGGGTCCGCGCCGGGAATGCCGCGCCGTGGGGGGAATGGGCGGGGCTACTCAGACCCCGCCCCCGCGCAGGTAGCCAATGGGCGCGGCGGCGCCGAGTGACGGAGGGAGCCGAAGTGCGAGTGCCGCGGCGGCGGCGGACGGCCCAGCCAGAGCGCGAGGGGCTCGGGGGCGTGCGGGGGTCTCAGTGCAGCAGCGGGGACCCCGGGGCCCAGAGGCGGCGCAGCCCGGGGCCGCCGGGAGGAGCGCGGGCGGTCCGGCGGCGGCGCGATGCCGCTCGCCCAGCTCAAGGAGCCCTGGCCGCTCATGGAGCTGGTGCCGCTGGACCCGGAGGTGAGTGAGAGGGGCGGGGGACAGGCGGCGGCGGCCGGCCAGCCCGGATCCGTACCGGGGCGGGGCGGGGGCGGCCCGCAGCGTCTCTGCAGCCCCGCAGGAACGCGAGTGCCCTCCGGTCTCTAGCCCACTGTCCGGCTCCACCCCCTTGTGCTCCGGGTGTGCGTGTGCAGGGGATGGTTCTGGCGCTCAGTACCTCCCTGCGGTAGCTAGGAGAGGGAACCCCACGGGGTATTGAGATCTGACCCCTAGGAGCCGTCCGGCTTATCATCTTTTGATAGCCACTGTGGGAGTTGCCCCAATCAGTGCAGAAGGGAAAGGCTTGGGTCAGATGTCTGGGCTTCTGCTAGAGACAAGGATCATGGGAATCCGGTTTCTCACCGTTCCCCCTCATCTAGACCTCTCTTCATTTCTCCATTTCTGACCTTAGGAAGGTAGCCCTTCTGGACCCCTGGCAGATATGGAACGTGGGACGATACCACTTCTGGAGTTGGAATCTGTTTTCCTTTGCCCTAAAGCTAATGACACCATGTCTTCCTACTTAACGTTATTCGAAAGAGTAGGAAAAGCCCTTAGACCTTGTGAAGATTGTCTCTGTGGAAGAGACTCTGTCTCTGTCTTCCTTTTCTGTAGAAAAGGCTGAGCCCTTGGGCAATGTGGCTTCTGCCACCTAGCCTTTCCCAGAAGCAACTCTTGTCCTTTTGAGGGCTTTGTGGTCCAACCCTGAGCATGCTGTCGGCCACTTCTGTGGTGTCCTGTCACCCTGAGATCAAGGTCAAGTTCTGAACCAGCAACTTTAAAACTTTCCCCTGCTTTCATGCTGAGGAGGAGGCAGGTGAAATTCTGCCTTCCCTGGAGCTGTTATGGGGTACAGGAGACAGAAAGAAACCTCCCTTGATCCCAGAACCCAGGTGATTTTTCTCCTGGTTTGAACTTCTTTACCTGTGTTTGGTACCTCAGGTTAGTCACCCGTGAGCTCTGCCTCTCAGCACCACAGGTAAAGGGGATCCCCCAAGTCTTCAGGCACCGAGGGCATTCTGCCCCTTTAAAGGGATGGCCTATACTGGCTATTGGAGGGTGGGCGCGGCTGGATTAGGTAACCAACCTGAAGGCGCAATTTGGAGTAAATTGTTCTGGGATCTTTGCCATGGGCCTTTTACAGGCCCTACACAGCCGCTCAGAGGTTGTCTGGCTGACTCACCCTCCTAGGTGAGGAGCGTTGCTCTATGTGGCCCCTGTTGCCTGCTTCCCCCCCACCCCCACCTCGGGACTGGGGCACAAGGCCTGAGGGAAGGCTCAGAGGTGTACTCCTTTGCCTGGGCACGCCCCTGCCACCTGGGCCTCCAGAGGGAGGTAGAGCTGAGCTGGGTATGGTTAGGGAGGGACTTAGCCTAAAGAGTCAGTGTTAACGCTAGTGGGAGAGATCTGGGAGTGCTGGCCTCCTCCAGGGCAGCACTTCCTGCTTCCCTTTGGGAAATCCTGAGGCCAGAGGCAGCCTCATGGGGGCCAGGTTAAACCGGAAACATCTTAGTTTGAATACTATTGCACCTGAATTCTCGGGTGCAGGAGCAGCGGAGACTGTCAGATTTCCTGGGATGGGGGAGAGGAGTTTTTCATTGAGCTTTACTTCAGAAGTGCCATGTGGTCCTTAGTCCATCTTCAAGTTGTCTGAGCCTCTCTTACCAGCGCCACAGATGAGCTTCTAGCTCTACTTCCTGGGCCTGACAAGGTGCAAAACCCTGGGTCCTGCTGCCTGTGTCCCCTCCCCCAAGCCGTGGAGGTGCCTGTGGACTGGGTGTTATTGTTTGGGTAACAAGAGCCATGGGGCAGTGAGGGTGTGCATACTTACTTGAGAACAGGGCCTTGCTGTTCTCCATGCAGATGACATGTAAGTGATACAGCGCCTGGCCTGCAGGTACTGGCACCATTGTGAGCAGCTTCTGGCCAGGAAGGAGGCAGGTGAGGGGGCTGGCAAGGAAGGGCATTTGGCAGAAGAGGTCTGGGATCTGAACTGCCCTGTCTTCGCATTGTTGTCACCAGAAATGGGCTGCTGGCAGGCCAGGCTCGGGTGGGATAAACCAACTAGACATAGGGGTGAGGGTGGTACCTGGGCTTTTCTTGGTTCTGCTGAAAACATCAGAGCCTGGTCTCCAGGCCTTATCCTGCCAGGGCTTCACTGTCTGCTATTTATTGATGTTACGTTACTTTCATTTTCACAACTTGTCAAGTTAGACATTATGACCCCCTGTTTTCAAATGGCACAGCAGAACTCAGGGATGCTGGCATGCGCATTAATATCTGGGCCAGGATTAGAACTCAGTGCTATCGCTGTTTGCCACCAAGCAAGACAGACTCAAAGATGAACATGGAGTGAGTTTAAACTGGCACAGGTGGCAGGTAGGCAGCGAGCAGCTCCGGATGTTGGCACACACTTCTCGGGCTGCAGGGCCCTTGTCCAGCCTTGGCTGAGGGCTAGCAGTGCCCTGGCACTTGGCCTCCAGGCTCCAGCAGTGCACAGGGCTGCCAGTGCCGGGCTCAGAACCCAGTTCCTGGGGCTGCTTCCTGCCTGCCGGGCACGTGCTGTCTTTCTCCATCTGTTCTGCTCCCAGCTTTTCCAGAAGCTGCTCTGGACCCTTAGGTGGAAAGAAGCATGTCTGTTAGGACTCTGACTTCTGGAAGAGGTGCAGGGTTCTGAGCAGGTGTCAATCTTCATGAGCCGTGCTCCTGAGCAAGAGAGGAGAATGGAGTGCTCCAAGAGGCCAGAGGGCCACCCCTGTCCCAGGCTTTTCTCCCTGGTCCCAGGGGTCTGGTCTGCATGCCTTTTGTCCCTTTCCTCCCCTTCTCTCCCTTCCTATCCTTCCATCCATCCAGGGCAGATACTCTACCTCTAAGTTAAACCTCCTCCTAGGTCTTTTTAACAGTCAGTTTCTCCAGGAGCCAGAAGAGGGCATTAGATCCCTCTTGAAGCTTCAGTTTCAGGCAGTTGTGAGCTGTTCGACATGGGTGCCCGGGATTTGAACTCATGTCCTCTGGAAGAGCAGCAAGTGCCATTTACCATTGAGTCGTCTCTCCAGCACTCCTTAGGCTTTTTAGACAGACTTCTTTCAGTCTCCTAGGTCGTAAAGTGCAGCTGCTGACACAGTAGACATGGAGACATGGTACAGAGGAAGAAACCAAGACGCTGAAAAGTGATGTGACAGCTCTACTCAGAGCCACTAGTGGCGGTGGCTTTGTGGTTACACAGCTGTGTTCTTCCCACTGTCCCACATGTCAGACCAAAAGGGCAGATGATCTCTGCTATCCTGTCTGCCCCTCCAGTTCCCTACTGAGGATGGATCACTTCTCTAGAGATCTTGAGAAACAGGTTCATAGGCTAGGATCCTAGCCAAACAAGGGCCTGGTGGCGGAGGTCTCTGAATTACGCTAAAAACATCTTGACACGTCTTGCTATGCCTTCTCTCCTTCGTCAGGGATTTAGGCTTACAGACACATGACTTTGAGTCAAGGACCCATGACTGCCACCTGCTAGCTGTGGTGAGCCCTTTTGCTGAACCTCAGCTGAAAAATAGGGTAACAAAAACCTACTCTGGCATCCTCGCTGTCTCTGCTGGATTTGCGTTTTACCTTTTGTTTTACGAACTGTATGTTGGCTCAGCACTAAGGAGCTGATGAAGGATACAAGTCACACCCCCTTCTGAGTTTAGGTGTGTGCTCAATACCATGGCTTCAGAGAAGAGAGGGAAGAATTAGGGGCTGGGTGGGCAGAGGAGGCAGAGTTTTGAGTAGAGACCCAGTAGAAAAGCAGAAAGGGTTTCTTATTAGGGTAAACCACCATATAAATGCTCAGTCATATGGAACAGGTCTATTCGGGGTCTCAGATCAATTCAGCGGAAGCCCAAAGTGCACCCAGTAGAACTTGCTAAAACTGGAATGATACACGGAAGATTAGCATGGTCTCTGGGGGGAGGATGGCTCGCAAATTCACGAAGCGGCCCATCTTTAAGATATTGTCAGTAGTTATTTTTGCCTGTATTTATACATGATGTGCATACATGGGTGTTCGTGTGCATGTGCAGGGGCCATAGAACTACTCTGTGGAGTCAGTTCTCTCTTTCTCCCCTTTTGTGCTTTCCAGGGATCGAACTCAAGTCTTCGAGCTTGGTGGCAAGCACCTTAAACCGATGAGCCATCTTGCCAGTCTATCAGTGGGTTTTAATACTTGAGAAAGGTTATTTTTGGCTGCCCTGGAATACTTTCAGGTGGATGAAAATGTCAAACTTCATTACTTTAATAAGAGTGCCCTTGTGGTGTGAGTCTTCACGGCTGGCCACTTGGACAGACATTCTTGTGGTAAAAGTTGTCTAACTAACTACTTCAACAGGCCGACAAAAGATTCTGTAGGAGTCAATAATATGATGGCAGCTGGGTAGGGATGGCAATAATAATGGTCCCAGTGGCTACTCTTTATGGGCCAGTCACATGCCAGCTGTGTATTTATGGCTTGATTTCACTGACTTTAAGCAGCTGCCCATTTAGTCCCATTTTACAGGTGAGAAGACTGAGCCATGAGAAGTATAGTGACCTCCTTGGCGTCATGCAAATGGTAGAGGCCAAAACTTGAATGCATACTTTTTAATCCTGGCTCTGGGTGGTTGGAGATGGTGGCCTTGGGTTTCATGCTGAGGAGCTGGGACTCAGTTCACTTAGTCCCAGTGGCAGAGGATGTGAGGTTTTCAGTGGACAGACACTGAATTGACTGAGCAGGAAAGAAGAGTGTCTGGAATACCTCTGGAGGGCTGCGACAGAGGCTGGTAGGCAGGCTGTTTGTGGTTGTAGGTGGGACAGACATCTAGTCTGCTGAGTGAGCTGGACTCAGCAAGTAGATCTGCCTAGTCCTGCAGTTAGGCTCTGACCAACCTGTCCCTTCTCAGAGTGTGTGTGTGTGTGTGTGTGTGTGTGTGTGTGTGTGTGTGTGTGTGGTGTACACCTGTATAACACTTGGCTCTCAGTTCTTGGGGGAGGATTAGGGGCATTAAGGGGGCTCAGGGCAGGAAGGATGTCCTGGCAGGCAGGGGGCAGCTACTCCAGGAACTAGAGGTTACATAATAGACAGACTTCAGCTGTACCTGCTGCTGCCAAGCAAGGCCAAAGCTGCCCTATGAACCTGACTCTTGGCTCCAAAGTCCTAGCCTTTGGGAACTTCTGTCTCACTGTGCTCAATTCATGCCAGAAAGGGTGGGGACAGCTTCCTCAGGTGGGTTTCGAACTTCATAGCACATTGGCATAGAGAGAGCAGCTGCAGTATACCCCAGGTTATGTAGTTTCCATCTTGGGTAAAGTCAGGAAGAAATGGGATCTCAGAGCTAGGCTGTGCCCCTGCCTCTCCCTGCAGACAGCTCCCTGGCTGAGGTGGAGGCCACTCAGAGGCAGGCCTTTCCCAAGAAGTCCCACATTTGGAGAGACATTTCAGACCCCTGCTTTTCAGTTGTGTGAGGGCTCTCTATCTTTGGTCCCCTCTGAGCCCTGGTGTCCTCCTCTACCTATAGGGCCAAGGCCTAACTCTCAGAGCTGTCAGAAAGATTAAACAGAGCCATGGGTGTGAGGCAGAGCGCCCAGCCTTGCCATGAGGCAGGCAGTCTGCAGAGAGCCTGTAGTATAATAGGTCCTCATGTCTGCTCTCCCAGGTCTCCCCGTTTACTGGGAAGAATGAGTCTGTATGTGACCAGTGGTACTATGGAGAAATGCAAAGATATGGCGGATACAGCCATCACGTTACCTGCTGACAGGTTCTCAAAGTAGAGCAGGGCTGGGGAAGCCACCAGGAGGGCACACCTGCCCCAACCTTGTCTTCTTCCATCCATATAGCAATTTGGGGAAGTTAGGGTATCCATATCCATCCCAGTGGTCCAGATAGGGAGACAGGCCTCTTGTGGTTGGTTAGTTTGCAGAAGGTTGCACACACGATTCACATGGAGGAGCTTGGTGTGTGTGTGTGTGTGTGTGTGTGTGTGTGTGTGTGCCCCTTTTCCCTAGGAAGAGGTAATATCTGAGCTGAGACTTTGAAGATAGATGAGGTGTTTGATAGGCAGAGGAGGGTGGGTATCCTGAGTCCTGAGACTATCCTGCCAGGGTTGGGAGGGGCCGTTGACAGAGAACTTGGTTCCTGCACAGTGATACAGGGGTAGAGGGGATCTGTGGAGAACTGACTGGTTGCCTCTGCCTCCCTAGATGTTGGGAGCAGCCAAGGATAGAGTGTCCCAGGGTGTGTGTGTCTGTCTGTCTGTCTCTCTCTCTCTGTCTTTCTCCAGGTAAATTATGACGTTTCCCTTCTTTTTGTTTCTCTTTTCCAGAATGGACAGGCTTCAGGGGAAGAAGGTGGACTTCAGCCATCCAAGGTGAGGACTGGAAACTTACAGTGAAGTCTTGGTCAGAGAGGAGAGAGGATTGCTCACACCACCTGGATGTGAAGGCACCGGCCTCTTAACCCTTTGCTCTCTTCCTCTGATTCTGTCTCTGCTCAGGACAGAGACCACTGCTTTCAGCTTTTCTACCTCAAAGGCGAGGGAGCTTTCACTCCTGGACTCAAAGGTGTGGTCCAGGAAGGCCCAGGTATAGGATCCAGAAGTCCTGGCAGTCTGTGACCCCATACAACACTTCCTGGGTTTATTATGTACTCGCAGTTTGTGCTTATGGAGTGATTGGAGACCTCTGTGTGTTGTGCTGCTGTCCTTGGTGGGAGTGAGTGCCACAGGGCTTGGGAACATTTGGGCCTATGAATTGGAATGGTGGGACCAGGAACCTGGTGGCTTTTCTAGCCTGAGCATGCCCAGTGCCTCCCAGATGCCTTGAGACGCCCGGCTCCCAAAACAGGTGTTGTCATTTGTCTCAGCTGCCTCTGCTTCTCCAGGCCGCCTTCCTGTAGCCTGCCAAGTCTTCACCCCTTCCTGGTTTATTTATTTATTTTTGTTTTTTTTTGAGACAGGGTTTCTCTGTGTAGCCCTGGCTGTCCTGGAACTTACTCTGTAGACCAGGCTGGCCTCGAACTCAGAAATCCACCTGCCTCTGCCTCCCAAGTGCTGGAATTAAAGGTGTGCGCCACTGCCGCCTGGCAGTTTTTTTATTTAAAAAAAAAATAGTACTTTTTTATTGTTCTTTTTAAAATTAATTAATTAATTTTTTTTTAGACTAGGTCTTGGCATGTAACTCTGGCTGGCCTCCCTCAGAAATCCATTTGCCATGCGTGGCCTCCCAAGTGCTGGGATTAAAGATGTACACCACCATCCCCAGCCCAAAACCAGTATTATACTTTTACTTCATAATTTTGTGTATGCTCTTGGGTGTGTGTAGGCACAAATGCATGTCCCTAGGCCTGTGTGGATGTCAGAGGACAACTTGCTGAAGTCAGTTCTCTCCTTCTGTCATGCAGATACCAGGGATCAAACTCAGGTTGTCCAGGTTGGCCATAACTGCCTGTACCCACTGAGCTATCTCAGCGGGCTGCCTTGCTGTCATTCATAGCCAAAAGCTCCTGTGTGACCTTAGTTGAGTACCTTGTCCTCTCTGAGCCTGGGCTTTCTCTTCTGTGTAGTCGGAAGAGCCACACCTAAGTCACATAGAGAAGCTGTTAGGTCACAGAGATAGTGGCTGTTGAGAAGTTTTGGAAGCCCTCTGGGCAGGGTCTCTGCAAACCTAGATTCCAGGTGCCTCACCTCACCCCACCCAAGAGGTCCTTCGCTTCTGTCTTCATTTGAAAGTTGGGGGGTACCCTGGACTGAAGTGAAGGACATGACATGGTAATGGCCTGGTACACAATGGAGCTCCTCAGTTCAACTTCCTGTCCAAGGCCCCGCCTTCCAGGCCCGGGTTAGCCCAGCTGTAAGTTCGACCTTTGATTTGGAGTCAGGCTTGGCTCTGATGTTTACATTGACTTAGCTTCCTAAGATAAGGTAGCCAAGCCGGGTGTGGTAGGGTCTGTGTAAGGGAAGTAGGCCTTTACCCACTCCTGCTGTTGGTTACTGTAGTAACAGAGCCTCCCCACCCCACCCCCACCCCAGCCTTGTAGCTTGGACCTTTGTTATCTCTAACAGTGTCTAGAGACTGATCCCAAGAGGGAGTAGCTGGGCAGTGTTGATGCACGCCTTTAATCCCAGCAATCTATGAGGCAGAGGCAGGCCTATCTCTTGTCAGTTGAGGCCAGCCTAGTCTACAGAGTGAGTTGAGAATAGCCACAGTACACGAGAAACCCTGTCTCGGAAAAAAAAAAAACAAAAAACACAGAGGTACCATTGTGTCCCCAGTGGAGACCCAGGCATTCAGATCTTAGGTTTGAAGATTCAAGGGGGTCCCAGTAGAGGTTTTGGAGAACTAGTAGTGAGCTCTGCTTGGTATCTCAAAGGCCAGAGGGGCCAGGTCTGGTGATAAAGGCTGTAATCCCAGTTCTTTCTGGGTAGAAAGAGGAGAATCAAGAGTTTAACGTCATCTCTGGTATATAGTGAGTTTTGGACTAGCCTGAGCTACATGAGACTTTGTCTCAAAACCAAACCAAGAGAGAGGCAAATGGACAGGAAGCTTGTTGAGGCAGGAACCTCTCTGCCCATTCCACAGCCTAAGGGCCTGTTCTGAGGTGGAAGGTCCTGGGGTGGAAAGGAGGTTAAGGCCGGAGAGCTTGTACCCTTGTTATCTCTTGACTTGGGACTCTCACATGCCACATAGTGGGAAAAGCTGAACTGTGCCTGGCATCAGACTGCAAGCTCTATGCTCTGTGCTTTTTTAGATTGATTTTTATTTTATCTGCATGGGTGTCTTGCCTTCATGTATGTCTGTGCCTCACATGTATGGTGCCATAGGAGGCCAGAAGAGGGTGTCAGGTCTTCTGGAATAGGAATTAGAGATGATAGTGGCTAAGTAGGTGCTGGGAATCGAACCTGGGTCCTCAGGAAGAACAGTTAGTCCTCTTAACCAAAGAGCAGTCTCTCCTGCCCTGTGTACAGTTTTCAGAAGTAGAGCACCCAGCTGAAAAAATTGAGGCCTTGTGTCACACAATGATGGGGGTCAAGCTTTGTTTGACCAAAGCCACATTCCTCCCTGGCTGGTGAATCCTGAGTACTAAAGTACTCAGTGAATCCTGAGTACTGAGTACATGGCTCAAGGGTCCTCACTGGCCACTTCTGGGCTTAGTACACTAGAGGGCACTTAACCTGCTGTAGGACCTCATTGTTGTATAGTGGAGGAACAGGGGACTGTCCTTCAGTGCATACTTGGTGCATTAGATTGTTTCACTGAGAGACACCCCTCACCCAAATGCACGGGACACCCCGGAGCCTTAGAGAGCACCCAGGCATGGAGGGAGGGCAGAGACAGGAACGCTGCAGTTGGTGCTGAGATGGGGAAATCACATGGTCATGGGCACATAGAACCTACACTAACAGCTTCTGGACCCCCACATTCCTCTCTGGAGAGCGATTAGTGGCACGAGGAGCATCCGAGCCTCAGCCATTGTCACCTGAGCTTGTGGCTGAATGTGAAACAAAGGGGTGATCTCTGCTATGTGTGGCAGGCGAAGAGGTTGGGTGGGCCCTGGGCCACTTGCCTAGTTAGCCATTGCCTAGGCTTTGAGTAGCAGGAGATGGAGGCGGGGCTTCCAGGCGGAGGTGAGACGGGTGGAGACTTGGGAGCCAGGCTGCCTGGGTTCTCTTCCTTTGTCTCAGTTTGCCTAGCCTAGGACAAGTTGCTCCTTCAAAGGACAGAATAGAACCTACCTTGCTGGGTGGGTATGATGACGTGGTCCCTTAATCACAGCATTTGGAGGAGGAGGCAGGTGGATATCTGTGAGTTCTAGGCCAGTTTGGTCTACATAGTAAGTGCCAGGCCAGTAAGGCTATTTATCAAGACTTTGTAACAAAACAAGAAGAAGAAGAAGAAAAAAAGAATCTAACTCTTAGGCTCACCTGGAAGAGTGAATGTGCTGTGTACAAATTAAAAATATTCGTCAAGGTTTGTGCCCAGTGTTATCTAATGCTGGCTTCTTTATCCATTACAGATGGAAAGAGGCTCGGGGCTTAGCATTGATGGTGTAGGGCAGACAGACACTCTTTGGATCTCTTTGTCTTCTGTATCCTCTTCGTATCCTCAGGAACATCAGGGCTCCACTTACACTCCCTCTTCCCTCCTGGGAGCAGACTGGATAACCCAGGCCCCCTCCTCTGGCTATCTCCGGAGCTGGACCCCTTTGAAGTGCCTGCAGGTCTATTTTGAGAGCAGAGTATCTCCCGCCTCCCCTCCTCTCTTCCTGTTTATGAAACCCTGATCCCTCCCGGATCCCGTATGCTCCCCTGGCCTTAGAGCTTAAGCAGGATGTGACTCTGGGCTTTGGGGAGCCTCAGGCAGCCTCAGGTATTGAGAGACGCTTCTCTTGGGTGACCGGAACTGGCCAGACTACCTGCTTAGCGCCTAGGATGCATGAAGGGCTCTCTTCCTTCAGCCTGCCCTGGGGAGAGCCTGTGGTCTAAGTAGAAAGAGGTTTGGTTACAGTGTCTTTTCTCCATGGCCCATTTGGCAACCAGAGACATCCTTCCAAGGGGATAGTTTGAACCTTCATCTTGGCCGGGGAGAGGCTGATACTGAGGTAGACATTTTGCCTGAGAGCATGTGACTTAAACAGACTCATTACCGCACTTCCCGTGGGCCTTGCTCACATCGCAGTGTGAACCCTTTGTGTCCGTCCAATGCCAGTTCATCCTCAAGACCCAGCTGGACTGTCTTCATCCAGAAGGTCTTCGCCCTTAACGGTCTCTGTACCTCTGGGCAGCGACAGCATCTCAACTGCCTCTCTGTAGCAGGACAGTTGTCTCCCACCTGAATGAAGCAGGGGCCAGGAGCTGTCAGCTCTGTCCAAAGGAGAGACACCAGTGTCTGACACTTGCAGGGAAGCTTTGACGGAGGTGTCGGGATGGGTGGGCTAAGGGTAGGAGGAGGGGGTGTGGTCAGTGATGAAGTGTAGGCAAGCTTTGGCTTTTCCTGCAGGTACAGGTTTGTTAGTTTAACCTTTACTATCCCCTTTGCCATTCTTATGGCCTTGGGATGGTCTCTTTATTTCTGAGTCCTGTCTCCTTATCACTGAAATTGGAAAACTATCCTTCCTTGGGAGCTGTGCCAAGCCCAGGCCTGGTGGACCTACATCAGCAAAGGCTGAAGGAATGGGTGCTTACATGCTCAGGTGACAGGTGGCTCGGTGCTCATTTCTTCTTCCCTGGCCTGACCTGGTGCCTGGGGCCAGCCCCTAGGATGCCTAGGCATAGCCAGCCTGCTGAGAGGCGCGCTGGGAGACACACCTGGAAGGGCCTGCAGATTTTGCCGGTTGGGGAAGGGATTGTTCGTTAGAGGCTCTTAGGATCAGTAACCGGCAAGTAGGCTTGACCATAGCAAGAGGCCTGAGTGGAGGCCCTAGAGGACAAAGATCAGATGGTATGGCTCTGGGCTTTTCTTCCTGCTGCTCTGGGGAGGATCAGGAATGTAAGCTAATATCCCTCCTCTCCCCCCTCCCCCATCAGAGGCTTCAGGTCCTCACACGATTCAGCAAAGGAAATTCTGAACCATTTTCTTCTTCCCGTCCCTTCTGGTACCCTGGTAGCTACAGTGCTTCTTTCCCTGTTTATGGGGACTAGTGGGTTGAGGGAATCCTGGCATAAGTGCTGTGGCGAGTCTTCGGGCAGGCTGCTTCTGCCTGAGATAGTAGTAAGCGGTCTTGGGGAGGTGTCTTTCACAATTCCACAGGGTATCTACCACAGATTGTTATCAGAGCCCTGTGAGGACAGGGAAGGGGAAATGTGGGGTACGGGAGGGGGCATGTGTTTCTACACTGGGCTGTCTAGAAAGGGTTTCCGATCACCAGCCTGAGTGAATCTGTCAGTTATGTGGATGTGTTAGTGTCAGGGGCTGAAGCCCTGTAGAAAGGGATGGGGCTTGTCCACCCCTGTCCTCAGTAGCCTGTTCTTAGATCTTCTGACTTCTTGTCCATCCCAGGGCTTAGGATTAGTATGTCTGAGCAGAAACAGGACCAGGCAGGATACTGCCTGCTCTGTTGGGGGAAGGGTCTAAGTTCCCGACTGGGTCGGCCAGACCGGCCTTACAGACTTCTGTCCTATATGTCCTCCGGGTCCCCAGGGTATATATTTTCAAGTCCTGAATCCCTGGTGTGTGGGCATCTCATGACCTTGTGGCTTGGGTCTGTTTTCCTGTCCTCACTCCCCTGGGGGTCAGGAGACAAAAAGGTATACACCTTTGGGCTCTTCCTGGATCGTAGCTTGGGGTCTGCAGTGTCCCCTCCTTAGCAGGGGAGCCTAACTGTCTTGAGTTCCTCCTTCCTGCTGAGAGGGAAGTGAGAAGGAGGGGAGCCAGAGACCCTGCCTTCTGGGCTAAGAAAGCTAAAAAAAGCAGAAGTTGTAGGAGTTACAGGCCCCTCTGGCCACCAGCCTGAGTCCTACCATGCAAACACCAGCTGATTTCCCCAGGGTTGAGAGAGACTCCAGCTTCTGTCCCAGAAAGGTGAGGAAAAGAGTAATTTTCTCCAGAAGTGTCTGTCACCATGACTCTGGACACAGAATAGGTTTAGGGGACACTGTCTGACCCCTGGAGTTTCCGGGTAGCTGCATCTGTCCCCAGTGGGTCTACTCAGGCAGACAGCTTGGAGCTGAGGGGCAGCTCTCAGGGTGGGGTTCGCAGAAATTGCTGTGTGGCCTTGGCCTATGAATAGTCACTCTCTGGGCCGTGCCTTCTGTCTGTTCTACCAGATTACTCTCTGGGGACTGCCTGGCCTACTCTGTTCTGGGGTTTGATGGCGCAGTAGAGAGCTGCTGAGTCTCAGAGAGGGCTTGGAATGGGAAGTCCTAGAGTGGCTAGGACTGAGAGAGAGGGTGGGTTTGGGAGGGCAGGAAGTGGTCTCTGGCTGACTTACCTGCCCACCCTTTCCCGGCACTTGGGGCTGCTGACTACAGTCAGACAGGACCCAGAGGAGGGACTTGGCTGAGGACACCTCTGACATTGGTTTGTCTTGAACAGTTTCCTGTTCCCCCACAGGGGTTAGAAGTTTTAGGGATATTTAGATCAGAGTGCAGTTGAGAGATGGCTCTCTCAACCTCTTCGTCAGCCCTGGGGCTCCCTAGGAACTCCCTGGAAAAGTTTTGGAAGCCCTCAGATGGGACTGAGCACTGACTTGGTGCAGCTACTGGGCACTGAGGCTGGCGGCTTATGCTCCCCGCTGTCTCTCCATACCCTGAGCACCCGAGAAAGAATCTGCAGCTCTGCCCTGCCTTGTCCTTTCCTGGGGATCCCTGCCCTGCTACCTGCCTGGGTCTGCCCTGGACACCTGTCAGTCTGTGGAGGTCTCAAATTCTGCCTGGCTCTCTTCCGCCATCTCTATCGCTCTTGTTGGGTTCCCGACTCTGTCTCCAGTTGATAAGTGCCTGTCTTCATGAGTTGGGTACACGATAATGGTTGAGTGGCTTCTTCCTTCTGTCTCTGCATGTTCTGATGAGTCTCTGTCACATAGACGTGAGCTCCCTTCTGTATAGTGGATGTGAATTCTTGCCTTGCCACTGGGTGCAGGTCTCCCACCACCTCTGTGTTAATTGTGTGTGCCTATCTTATTCTGTCTGTCATGTAATGGTCCCAGGCTATCTCTTGCCGATTGCCAACACGACCTTGTATTATGCCTCCCTGCCTGGTGGATGGATGTATATATGTTATGTACACGTTGTATATCTGTCTGTCTTGTCCTTGGCTGCCACTATGTGGTCGATGCCTGTCTCTGTCCACTGGGTACCTTGTCAGGTCCCTGTTATTCTAGGCCATATCTGCTCAGCAGCTGGGTTGATATGGGGCTTTCTCTTTGTAGGAGGATGAAGGGGAGGGCCAGAGTGCAGACCTCAGGCACCGGGGAGTGAGGGGTTAGAGAGAAGGGAACAGAGTGAGGGTGGAGGGCTAGAGCTGGGAAACCACAGGCCCTGTCTGATTGGCTGTCTTGAGCTTGGCCCAGCCCCCACGCCTTCACCCTGCACATCCGCCTTGGGCCCAGCCACCTCCTTGGCAGCCCCAGTGAGTTGTTGCTTACCCTTGCCATGGTGCTGTGGCCCTGCTGGGCGGATGGAGCAGGACCCCAAGCTGCCCCGTCTGTGGCTCAGGACCCTGCTCCCCTGGCTGCTCAGGAAGCAACGGTCCAGGATCAGCCAGACTCTGCCTGGCCCTGGCCCTGGTCCCCAGCAGGACTCGGTAAGTGTACCCGGATATCTGGTCCTGGCTTGGCAGTAGCCCCTAGAACAGGTGTTTCAGCAGCCGGTTTGGTCTAAGTTAGCTTTGGACTCTTCTGGCCCTGCTAGATGAAGACTGGACCTTGCCCGGACTTACTTCCTGGGGAAGTAAGGAGGCATCTCAGTGCTTCAGAGCAAGACAGGCAGATTGGAGGGCCAGAGAGGTCCTATAACAGCAGTGACCCGATGCTTATCAAGGGAAGTTTGGTAGAATGTAGAGTTTCTGGCTGTAACTCTCAATTGCTCCAGCTAGGCACTGAGTGGGTTGGAGGATGTCTGACTGACTCTTGGGTCTCTGTGTACATCAGTCTTATCCATATAACCAGACTTTGTCTCATCTTATCCTGCCTAGGCAAAAAAAAAAAAAGGCCCGGCTCTACCTCCCATTATGAGCTCAAACCTTACTTCCTATTGTGGCAAAACCCAAACAGCTGGGGGAGGGGAGCCTTAAGGGAGGGCCTGAGTAGGTCCCTACCCCAGACCCAAGCTTTGGGTCAACCCATCCTGGCCATGTCTGTACCTTCCTTTGTGTCTGAGCAGGCTGGCGCCGCCATTCCACAAGAACAGGGCCTCACCTGAGTTGGCACCTGGTAGTTGGCCTTTGAGACACTGTTGGTACCCATGAGCCTGACGGCTGTTGAGGGAGTAGTTTCTTGGGCCTGTTTTGATCTGGTGGATGGCTTGGATAAGCTGTATGCCATGTTGCCCAGGAAGGGCCCCACGTCAACAAAGGGGCCCAGGACTACAAAGGGGCCCACACCTACCAGCTCTGTCCCTCTGTCAGGATGAGGACGTCCTCAAGGAGATCTCTATCACACACCATGTCAAGGCTGGCTCTGAGAAGGCTGATCCATCCCATTTTGAGCTCCTCAAGGTTCTGGGCCAAGGATCTTTTGGCAAAGTAAGTTCAAGTCCCTTATTGGGAGGGTATTGCAGGTCGTGTCTGAGGTGGAATGTCAGGGGTTACCTTGGCATGCACCAAAGGAACAGAGGGCAAAGAAGGATGAGAGGTCCCCTTGATATACCCAGGGAGAGCTGACCGTCCACTTGGGGTCCCAGGGACTGTCTAGGTCATTGTGGCGGCTGGGAGCCACTTGGGCCAGCCACCTCCCACCTCCTTGATTTGTCCTGCCTTCTGCTTTCTCAGGTCTTCCTGGTGCGCAAGGTCACCCGGCCTGACAGTGGACATTTGTATGCCATGAAAGTATTAAAGAAGGCCACGCTGAAAGGTAAGAATTCTTCCCTAGAAAGAACTGAGGCTGGGCTTAGGGTGAGGGGGAAGCCCAGGCCGCAGGGTTACGGAGCCGGTGAGGGAGGTGCCTCTGTTTTCAGGAGTCTCTGGCCTTCAGCAGCCCTTGCCTCTCCTTCTCCCTCCTCTAAAGCCAAGTAAAGGCCAGTGCCTAGAAGGAAGTAGTGGGGTGCAGAACACTTGGGGGTACAAGACTCAGACATCACATTGTTGATGAAGCATTGTTGCTTCGTGATTCTTGGGTAGTCTAAGCAAGACCTTTCTCTCTCTCTCTCTCTCTCTCTCTCTCTCTCTCTCTCTCTCTCTCTCTCTCTCTCTTTCTCTCTCTCTTTCTCTCTCACTCGCTCGCTCCTGGGAGATTCGGACCGTAGAGGGGCATGGGAGAGTTGGGCGGTGGTGGCGCACGCCTTTGAATCCAGCACTCAGGAGGCAGAGGCAGGTGAATCTCTGTGAGTTCGAAGCCAGCCTGGTTCCAGGATAGCCAGGGCAACACGGGAAAACCTTGTCTCAAAAAAGTAAAAAAAGAAAAAAAGGGGGTGGTGGTGGAGAAAGAAGGCACGAGAGAAGAAGCGGGCGGGCAGCCTGAGAATGCAGAAGCTGGGGACCCGTAAGAGAAGATTAACTGGGGTCAGGGCTATAGAGTTGGATGACAGAGAAGTTCAGAAAGGATCCCCAAGCCAAAGTCAGGGATTCTGGGGACTAGAGAGTAGACGAGGACTGTTAGTAGTTGGCTGAGGGTCGGCTGACTGATTGGTCTGGGAGCCAGTATAGCCAGAAATCAGGTGGAGCCCCATGCTAAGCCTTAGCTGGGGTGTAATGGAGGAAGAAGGGGCCAGCCTTAAGGACTCATCTGCCGTTGGTCTATCAGAGGTTGTCTGCTGGATGGTGATGGCTTTAGTGTGGGCTGATAGTAGGATCATCCCTCAGGAGGGATTGTGGGAGTCACAGGGGAGGAGAAAGAAGCAAAGATGTGGTCCCTTCTATAAGGGGTCCATGGACTGGTGGGAGAGTCTTTACATGGCTTGGTAGTTGGGTATAGCAGTACCAGGTTTGTGTGCATGGATGATGTCCAGGCCAAGGAGTTGAGGGGTAGGCTGTGGATTCATAGGGGTCAGATGAGGCATCTTGGGGACACTCTGGGGGCCAGTGCAGGACCTATGCCTTGAAAGATGTTAGGAATTTACCAGAACAAGATGGTAATGTAAGGAAGGACTCCCCCAGAAAGGAGGAACCATGTCCCTGCGGTGGCTGAAATGTGAGGTGTGTTTGAAAGTGGCCAGATTAATTAAAACCGCTCCTGCCATATCTAGTGAGAGAAATATAAGAATTAAAACAAAATAAGACTTTTCATGACGGGAAGTGCCAGCCTTGTAGGAGCCTAGAGGTCCTAGCCTTGCCTGCAGGGTAGGGATGCTTCCTGGAGGTTGTAGGGTCTGAACTTAGTCAACCAAAAACCTGTTGATGGTCAGAATTTGCTTGCCGTCTTTGTTTCTTCCCACCCCCAACCAGACATTCATAAGGCCTGCAATTGAAACACATGATTCAAGAGGCAGAAGGATCAGAACTTGAAGGCCAGTGTTGGCTACATCATGACTTTGAGGCAAGCCTCAAATAATCCTCCCCACCAACAAAGCGAAAGGAAATTAGTAAAGCACGTGAAGAAAGTCTGCTTAGACCCAGAATCACATTTTAGTATTGAACTTAGGAGTTGTTTATGGAGGACAGATGGGACTTGATACATGTGTGCTGATGAGGTGCAGAGTCAAAGACTGGGGACCTCAGAAAATACGGCACCCTGGGGCACACGGTACTCAATGGCTGCGGGGCTGGTGGTAGGTGAGGCTAGACAACTGGGCAAGACACAAGGACTAGCCTGGATGTCTCCAGGAGTCCAAGAGCCGGCTGAGGACCCAGAACACTCGAGGGAAGAAAGAATGTCCCAAGAGTGCTTGGAAGGCTGAGGAGCCTTGGAAGGCTGAGTGGGAAACCTCACCTAGAGGTGGGCTTTGGGGAGAGGCTGCATTGAGTGTATTTCAGTGACTTCTTTTCTCCTCTGGCCAGTGCGTGACCGTGTTCGGACCAAGATGGAAAGAGACATCCTGGCTGACGTGAACCACCCGTTCGTGGTGAAGCTGCACTATGGTGAGATCACAGACCCTACCCAAATGTCCCTTGTCCCCTCAGTGTCCACCCTTGTCTCCGGCCTGCTGCCTCCCTCATCCCTTGGCCCACCTCTCACAGGCCTAGCCAAGGAGCCAGGAGTAGAGGCATATGTCACAGGCTGACACTGGTCAGCTGATTCCGAGTTGCCTTTCTTATCTCTTAGCCTTCCAGACTGAGGGCAAGCTTTATCTTATTCTGGACTTCCTGCGTGGTGGAGACCTGTTCACACGACTCTCAAAGGAGGTGAGCTCTCAAAGGAGGTGAGCGTCCCACTGCTGGGACAGGACAAAGAGTCCCATTCCAGGCCTGTGAAAAACAATGTGGTGCAGGCCTGTAACTTCCCGGCTGTTTGACAGTCGAGAAATGTCACCTGCCTCTGACAGTTTCTCTCAGGGTGGGCTAAGGATGAATGGGCCTAAATGTGACACTGCTGTGATTTCTGTTTGCTAAGGGGATCCCTCAAGTGCTTGAGAAAGAGGGGCAGGGGTTGAGCTGGTCAGGGGAAGAGGCCCAAACCCACACAGGAAGCTAAAGACTTTAAGGTCCTTGTCATGTTGTTCCTACAAAAAGACACACAACAAAAAGGACCCAGTAGAAGAGGATCTGAACCTCATTTCTAAAAAACAAGATCATCAATACAATCTAACCTGTGGCCAGGCACTGTGCCTTCAGGCCTGTCCTTACAGCTACTTGGGAGGCTGAGGCAGGTGGATTACAAGATTAAGGCCTGCCTGAGCAACTAAAATATATACAGATCTGGGACGTAAGTCAGTGGTAGAGTGTTTGTCTAGGATATACAGAGACCTGATCCAGTCCCTGGGTGTGGGGAAACTCACCCTCTCTAAAACAGCAGCAACAACAAACTGTTTATATTGGGACACACAGACAGACATGTGGACACATGAGCACATTCAAAGGTCAGAGGACAACTCGTAAGAATTGATTCTCTGCTTTCACCCTATGGGTTCCAAGACTTAGTGGCAAGAGTCTTTACACACGGAATCTCATTTCTCAGAGCCGTACTTTCAGTATTAAAAACATTAATGCTTAACTGAGCGGTGGTGGCGCACACCTTTAAGCCAGCACTCGGGAGGCAGAGGCAGGTAGATTTCTGAGTTCGAGGCCAGCCTGGTCGACAGAGTGAGTTCCAGGACAGCCAGGGCTACACAGAGAAACCCTGTGTCGAAAATAAATAAATAATTAATGATTAATTAGACAGTCTATTTTCATAATTCAAAAGAAAGATATTCATGGCAGTCTCGTCACTACACAGTCCCTCTACCCCCTGAAAGTAAACATTTTTTTAATTAGTTTTTTTTTTAATTTAACCTTCTAATATTCCTTTCTGTAAATAAATTTTATACATGTTCTGAGTCCCCACCCCTGCTTTCTTACGTGAGAAGTATTAGTTTCTGCACACTGTTTTGTGCCTGGCCTCAAGTGTCAGTGTATCTCAGATTGTCCTGCATCAGGATGTGAGCAAACTCCTTGTTCTACGTTAGGGCCACAGAGCTGCCCATTTTCCCTGGGAGAGGCAGTTTATTCCAGTCTTTTATTCCTGGGTGTTTCCGTTCTTTGCTGTTTCCAAACTCTAGCACAGTGAATGACTTGTGTATTAGAGAAAGATAAGGTGCTTTGACTGTGTCCCCAGGGTAGACCCTCAACACCAAGAGGCCCCGACTCCTCAGTAGCCTGGTTCCTGGGGAAGAGGGTGTGCCAGCTTACGGTGTCTCTGTCCCTGTTGGCAGGTTATGTTTACAGAGGAGGATGTGAAGTTTTACCTGGCTGAACTGGCACTGGGCCTGGACCACCTGCACAGCTTGGGCATCATTTACAGAGACCTCAAGCCTGAGAAGTGAGCAAAGCCCCTGCCACACTGCTGGCCTCTCTCCCGGGCTCAGAGGCTGCTCTTGGGCTTTTTAGAACAGGGCCACTCAGGAGATGTGACGCTCTCCAGAAACTTCTCTCTCTTTGGGGCTGTCAGAAGGGTGGGTGGTTGGAGTGGGTAGTGGCCACCAGCAGGTTTTCCTTAGGTAATTAGGAACTGCCTGATCAGTACTGCTATTACCAAAGGCCGCAGGGCAGCTGTGGGCCCTACCGCAAACCCCTTCCTAATAGTGTCACACTGGGCATGCTACTGTTGAAGATCATTTCTGGGTTTTTTTCTTTCTTTCTTTCCTTTTTTGTTTTTTCAAGACTGAGTTTCTCTGTGTAGACCTGGTTGGCCTCAAACTCACCAAGACTGGCCTGTCTATGCCTCCCGAGTGCTGGGACTAAAGGTGTGCCTTACTATCCCCCAGACCTAAAGATCATTTCTTGATCTGTTCATCCTGGGGTTTTTGAATGCACTGCCTTCCAGTGCTGTCTTGAGAGCTGGGGTAGATTCTGGTGGTAGAGTTAGACACACCCCAAGTCAGGCCTTATGGTACTCAGCTGTAGGACTAGCTGCTAAAGAGGCTGAGTCCAGGAGTTCAAAGCCAGCCTGGACAATATAGTAGACCCTGTACTTGAAAGAAAGAAAAGTCCCACAGCCATTTAAACATTGTGACTACAAGGAGTTACTTTCCTGAGTCTCCGTCTTTCCACTCTTTCGTTGGGTAGAGCTGGACAGAGCCCTTCTGGGCAGACCCAAGTCCTCCACTAGAACTTCCACAGTACCTGCGGCTAAGGATTCCTGACTCCTATCTCTCTGTTACAGTATCCTTTTGGATGAGGAGGGCCACATCAAACTCACTGGTGAGTAAAGGGATCCTGCTCCTTTGGGCTCTTGGGAAGGCTGAACAGGCTCCGTCTGATAGGTCTCAGCTGATGGCTAGTTCTCTGTGCTTCCTTAGAGATGACGGCAATTACATACAAGAAGCCAAAAACCCAGGCCCTCGCTACTTATTGTTTATGTATAGGGGTTTTGCTTGCATATGTGTCTGCAGCTCATGTATGCATGGCCCACAGAAGCTGGAAATCGAACCTGGGTTGTCTGGAAGAACAGCGGGAGTTCTTCACTGCTGGGCCATCCCTCAAGGCCCCCCAGGTCCCAGTGCGGACATAGCTCCCAGTTACAGCCTTGGGTAAATCCACTTGGGCTTCAGCTTTCTCCTGGGATCACAGCGGTGATGCCAGCTCTGGACAGAGGAGCGACGTGTGGTAGGGTGAGCGTGGCGGGGATGCTAAAGATGGCTTCTCTGCCCTCCATGCTGCAGACTTTGGCCTGAGCAAGGAGGCCATTGACCACGAGAAGAAGGCCTATTCCTTCTGTGGGACAGTGGAGTACATGGCCCCCGAGGTTGTCAACCGCCAGGGTCACACCCACAGTGCAGATTGGTGGTCCTATGGGGTGTTGATGGTGAGTGTCCAGGCTCCGGACTCAGTTTCCCCTTATTGAGACATGTCAGTTCACCCTCCCTTTGCCTCTCAACTGCATACTGTTGCATCTTCTTTCCTTGGAAGACCCGTGGGCTTTAGTCCACGTGACTGAAGTACCACCCTTCACCTGACTTGGGATCTCTCTTCTGCTTCCTTCCGGCTTTAGTGCTGCTCCTGGAATCTAGGTTGGGATGGGGGCAGAGGCAGGCACAGGCCTCGTTGCAGCTAGACTGTAAAGCCTAACAGGCCAGCAAGAATCCTGGGACTGCAGCAGGGTCTCGGGGGGTGGGGGTGGGGATGTGGGAGACAGAACAAGCTCACACCTATATGTTTTCTTTTCCCTACAGTTTGAGATGCTGACAGGCTCCCTGCCCTTCCAGGGGAAGGATCGGAAGGAGACCATGACCTTGATTTTGAAGTAAGCATCAACACTACCCTGGCCCTAGCAAGTTCTTCCTAATTCTATCGTAGTTTCAGGGCCAGAGCATTGCCTTTTCCCTGCCTACAGACCCTTGCTGTCTGCCAGGGCCAGTGGGAGGTGTCCTAAAAGTCTTTGGGGGGTGAGTTAGTGACTGGTTTATCTGGCCTGAGCTGGGAAAGAGACCTGGACAAAGGGAAGGGGCTCTGGGGCTCGTGGGGTGGGGCTCGGCCTGATGGGACCCGTGGCCTTTCCAGGGCGAAACTAGGCATGCCCCAGTTTCTGAGCACAGAAGCCCAGAGCCTCCTGCGGGCCCTGTTCAAGAGAAATCCTGCCAACCGGCTTGGTAAGCAACCCCAGCTCAGGGGAGGGGGCATGGCAGTGGGGAACAGGGTACAGCTGCAGCCTAGGCCACAGGGCCACATCTGGGGCTGAAAGGAGCTGTTGTCCTTTGTGTGAGCAGACAATGCTGCCGGCCACCCTATTTTCTGGTTCCATGTATGGTTTGGGAGGGTGACCTGTGTGTGGGGGAAAGGCAGGAACTGAGTCATCCATACCCCCTCAGGGACAAGGACACAGGCCCCCACACAGCTTCTCTGCCAAGGTTGCTGGCTCAAGAGAAGGCGCGTGAGCTTAGGAGTGAGAAAGGTCTCAGTCCTAGCTGTGTCTGTCCCCACTGCCTGGCACCCAGCAGTTTCTGTAAATATTTGTTGAGTGATTGAATACAGGTTATGAGCCTGCGCCTTGGCAGGTGACTCCACCTTTCTGAGCCCCGGGTTCCCTGTGTCTGTGGAGACAGTGATCTTCATCAGTAATCTTTGAGTCAGAGAAGGACGTGCCTGTTTTGCACTGGAATATACAGTCCTGGCTGAGATTTTTGGTTGCTGGCTTTATCTGGATCACAACCAGCTAAAGTCCAGTCCAGGTCCCTGGGTTGAATTGAATGAGCATTTGTCTCAGAGATAAAGACCTTAGTAGGAGAAGGGTGGAGAGGGGGCCTGGGGCAGGAGTGGATGAAGGCCCTTGTTAGAGCTCAAAAGAAGTCCAGCTTCTGTCATGATTGATGCATGACAAGTTGTCCATCCTGCCGGGCCCCTCCTCCTTCAGCACACCGGCAGAGGCCCCATAACGTAGAAAATACTGAGGGGGCTCCAGGCTTCAGGGTGATGGGTACTGACACAGGGCAGGGTGAGCCCAAGCCGCCCTCCACTGTAGCAGCTGGTCCAGAGCTTGGGGGACAGAATGGGTGTCTGAGGTTGGACCTTCATTTGGCTTCTTTCAGGCTCGGGCCCTGATGGAGCAGAAGAGATCAAGAGACATATCTTCTATGCCACCATTGACTGGAATGTGAGTGAATCTGTCCACTCCGTGGCTATGTGATGGACACAGGAAGGGTGGGGGAGGAGGCGTCGGCCAACCATGGCCTCAGGTGTGGGAGATAGAAGCCCTTAAAATGCCCTTGGAGGGTCGACTTCATGCCCTTGAAGGCCGTTCTCCCTTGCTGTTATCCACTGGGCAATGTAGCTTCTTCCTGCTGGGGCTGCTAGCAGGCTGTGGGGTCCCCATGGTGATCAGAGCATATACCCCACCTTGTAGAAGCTCTACCGTCGTGAGATCAAGCCACCTTTCAAGCCAGCTGTGGCCCAGCCCGATGACACCTTCTACTTTGATACTGAGTTCACTTCGCGCACACCCAGGGGTATGTTCCTGACCTGGCTTGTCTGTCTCAGGCTGGGTAGCAGATCTTTGTGGGAACCCTGGGATACAGAGGTGATCAAGGACTCTGGAAGCCCAGGTGTGTAGGTAGACAGGCAGTATCTGGCTCCATGGGATTCATGCTCTGTCCTGATTTCATGCTACCTGACTACCTCCCTGGGCTTCTGTGGGCTTCTTTGTTTCTAGGTGAGGGACTGACGTGGGGGTGGTTTAGGCCACAACAGAAAAATCAGGACCCCTGCCCCAGGCATCTTCCAGCCCAGTGGGACGACTAAACACTTCAGGCCTCCACTTGCATCAGGCTTGAGGAATCTGACCTGGCAAACCTGTGATGGAGAGAGTCTGGCAGAACAGAGGGGACAGTGCCCACAGGTTGGATGAGTGTGGGAATAGACTTGGCTTCTGATGCTAGGCCTCTTTTGCTTGTGCGGAATTTTCAGAGAGTCACAGACCCACTTGTTCCCCAGTTGCCGCAGGACGCCAGCGAGCCAGTGTGGGCAGCTTCTAGGAGAGGGCTTGGGAATCCTGACGTCCAGCCACATACTGCCAGTGGGTAGGGAGTTGTGTGTTAGTTCTGAGGTGTCTTCTTAGAGGTTGATTTTTCTCTCTGTAGCTTGTACACTGTTATTGACTGGAACCTCATCGCTTCTTGGCTGTCTGTCTTCTTATTTATCTGCCGAGTCCATACCAGGTCCCTGCTCTGTGTCAGCCATAGTGAGAATGGTGGTGTAGACAGACCTAGGACTGTCAACAAGACAAAGCTATGTAGCTCGGGCTGTCAGCGGGAAGGAGATTTTAGAGGGTCAGAGAAGCAACCTCAGGCATTTCTCAGGGGAGGGTATATAAGCCTTGAGTGATGGACAAGGGGTGAGTATTCTAATCCAGGGGAACCGTGAGTGTGGCGGCGCCAAAACACTCTTGAGTGTGTGGAGTTCATCAGGACTGAGTTGCAAAGGGGAAAAAAGAGTCTGAGGCCTCATGGACCTTACTTGCCAGACTTGGGGGATGGGGTGAGCTTTCCCCTGATGAGTGCAGAATACAGGAAGCCCCAGACTTCTTGGTTGGAACTTTCCCTCCAGCAGTGCTGAGAATAGGCCTAAGAGGGGGATGGACCCGAGGTGAGAGGCTGGAAGGAGGCTGGGCCTGGCCTGAGCAGGAGGCGGGGTGTGGGGCTCCTACAGTCCTCCTGTGACAGGACTGGAACAGTCTAAGCACGTAATAAGGCTATATTATGTTCGTTAATTGATTATTTGGAGTTTTTGAGACAGGACTTCTTTCTGTGGCTCAGGCTGGCTTAGAACTCTCTGTGTAATCCAGACTGGCCTCGATCTGGAGCAGTCCTCCTGAGCCTGCCTCCTGAGGGCTGAGACGGTGGGCACGTGCATCATCCACAGCTACGTATTCATTTAGTGGATGAGAAGTGAAGTCAGAGGAGACATGGCTCCCCTAAAGCACAGAGGGGATTTTTGTTGTAGATACAGGGGAGAAGGCAGGCAGAGGGAAGAGTCCTGATGGAACATGGCCGGCAGACTATACTGCACTGTGAGAGGAGAGGGGGAGGGGAGGAAGGGAGGAGCCGACAGCCAAGAGGGATGGCCCAGGCCCAGAGACCAGAGTAGCCAAAGCAGCTGAGTTCTATAGGATCATGCTAGGGGATGAAAAGCAAAAGCCCAGCCCTGAGAGGGAAAAGTTTAGGGTGGGGGCTGGGTCCGGAGCCCTGGGAGGAGCCACAGGTCCTGAGACTTGTCCCAGGTTTCTTTGAGACCTAACAGTAAATGTGTCTGTATTTCTTTGCAGTGCTCGAAATCAAACCTACATTGTCCATTATAGGCAAGTGCTATACCACTGAGCTGTACATGTTAACTGATAGGCAAAGGCCTTAAACATGTTCCCTCCAGGGCTGCCTGCTGAGACATCAAGGGTACCCCCTGACCCCATGTCCTCTCCTGACAGATTCACCAGGCATCCCCCCCAGTGCTGGCGCCCATCAGCTGTTCCGTGGCTTTAGCTTTGTGGCCACTGGTCTGATGGAGGATGACAGCAAACCTCGGGCCACGCAGGCCCCCCTGCACTCAGTGGTACAGGTAAGGGAGGTGGGCCCAGCTACTGTTCTGTTGCCACAAACAGAACTGAGAACACAGGCTATGGAGTTGGCAGCTCAAGCCTCTCTGGGACCCATACAACTTCCAATCTCCTGGATCCTCACTATCCTCATGCGTAAACCCGCTAGTGAAACACAGTCCTTGATACCTGTCTCCGAGTGGCCCCGACTATTGGCTAAAAACATAGATAGGAAGTTCTCAACATCACAAGCCTGGGCTTGCCTTACAAGTTGACCAGACTCGACAGGCAGTGGTGGCACACGCCTTTAATCCCAGCACTTGGGAGGCAGAAGCAGTCGGATTTCTGAGTTCGAGGCCAGCCTGCTCTACAGACTGAGTTCCAGGACAGCCAGAGCTACACAGAGAAACCCTGTCTCAAACAAACAAACAAACAAAAACCGCCAAGTTGACCAGACCCTAGAGGAGACAACCAGCTCCTGTGGCTCAGTTTCCTCATCTGTAATGCTAGAACCTTCCCATGCAGAGGCTAATGAGTACTGTGAATGTGTCCATTGCAGAGTAAAAACGGAGGCTCAGAGAGGGCTCAGATTCTTGACTGAGGCCCACAGATCAGATAACACTTAGGCCTCGTGACTGTTTCTCTTTTTGCCATGCCAAGGCCTGCCGAGTCAAGGCCTGATGTTAGGGATGACCCCAGCACCGTAGCGCCCAGGGTCAGGCTGGCTCGTGTCTTCTGCAGCAACTCCACGGGAAGAACTTGGTTTTCAGTGATGGCTACATAGTAAAGGAGACAATCGGCGTGGGCTCCTACTCTGTGTGTAAGCGCTGTGTCCACAAGGCCACCAACATGGAGTATGCTGTCAAGGTGAGCCTCTGAACTGTATCTTGGCTAAGGCTCCTGGGTTGGGCGTGGGGCCACTGTACCTGCGGTAATATGATGGGGAGGGTCCGTGGACTATGACAGGTGAATGAATGGCTGGCTGGTTGTCCCTGGCCCTGTAGTAGGCTCAGACCATGGGTCTTTGCCCCTGTGTCTTCAGGTCATCGACAAAAGCAAAAGAGATCCCTCAGAAGAGATTGAGATTCTTCTGCGGTATGGACAGCACCCCAACATCATCACCCTGAAAGACGTGAGTGGGAGAGGGATCATCAGAGTTGGGGCTGGGAATCCCAACTGTAGGATTTGACTGAGGGACCCCATGTTTTTTACTTTGGGGCCTCTTCCCAACACATGTGAGAGGAGGCAGGGGTCTCTGAGCCCTCCCTCTGAGGACTCCAGCATTCTCTGACCATCACAGATGAGGCCATCACCCACTGTCCATCCAGCAAGATGGGAGCCCAGATGGGTGGTGGGTCAGCAGGGCTACCGAAGAGTGGCAGAAGCCAGCCCTAAGGCTTGCTTGTCTGGAGTGCTGGTGGCTGAGTGTCTCAGCCTGACAGCGAGGTCTCTGGCAGGTGTATGATGACGGTAAGCACGTCTACCTGGTGACAGAGCTGATGAGGGGCGGGGAGCTGCTGGATAAGATCCTACGGCAGAAGTTCTTCTCCGAGCGGGAGGCCAGCTTTGTCCTGCACACTATCAGCAAGACTGTGGAATACCTGCACTCTCAAGGGGTAAGTCTCCATTAGGGGGATGGGGGTGCCCAAGGTCATGACCTGGGCAGAATGCAAGAACAAGGCTGGGCTCAGGAGTGACAGTCAGAGGCTGTAAGAGAAAGGAGAGATGAGGACATTTGTCCAGTACCTACTGTGTGCAGCACACCAGGCCAAGTTTAATTTAAGAGAAAGTCTCCTTTGTTCTTTCATTGTTTTCACAAAATCCTGAATTGGATGTTTGATTGATTGAATGACCTGTCAAGTTACTGGCACCTGATAGGTCTAAAGTCTGACGGTTAGAGCTGTACAGTCTTTTTCCCAGGGTCACACAACCGGGAGAAATTTGTTTGGAAGGTGTAGGGTGTTCGAGAGGGTGACCCAGGTGCAGAGAGAGAGAGAGAGAGAGAGAGAGAGAGAGAGAGAGAGAGACATTCTTTGTTGATGTTGCCCTGGTGGGTAAGCTGAGTGGAAGGTTAAAGTTCCTTGTGGTTCTCTCTGGCTGAGATGATGTTTGGGGGAGCATCTGATCAGGCAGTGAAGGGTTAAGAGTGATGGTAGCCTGGTGTCACGTGCCTTTAATCCTAGCACTCAGGAGGCAGAGGCAGACAGACAAATCTCTTGAGTTTGAGGTCAGCCTGGTCTGACTAGTGAGACCTTCTCTCCAAAGAGGAGAAAACGTATAGGAAGTCAGACATGGCTGCCCACCTGTAATCCCAGCACATGAAAGGCTGGGGGAGGAGGACAGCCTTGGGTCTGTGCCACCACCATGTCATAGACGCACAGGAGTGTGTGTGTATGTGTGAGCTTGCATTTGTATAGGCAAGTATGTGAGCAGGTATTCGTGCACATGTGCCTGTGTGTGGAGATTGGAGGTTGACGTTGAACGCTGCTCTGTGTGTATCGAGGCTGGGTCTCTCATTGATCCAGGATTGTGCTGACTTAGCTAAGCAGTTTATTTTGGGATCTCTGTCTCCGCTTCCTAAGTGTTAGGATTTCAGGTAGCCTGCCCGATCTGCCCAGTTGTTTACGTGGATGCTAAAGATCTGAGCTGTGGTTCTCAAGGTTACATGGTGCCCTGTTTTGCTCTCTATTGCTGTGATAAAACATACAACTAAAAGCAGCTCAGGGAGAAAAAGGTTTATTTGGGTTATACTTCCCAGGTCACGGTCCAATTGAGGGAAATTGAGGCAGGAATCTGGAGACAGGAACTGAAGCAGAGACCGTGGAGAATCGCTGCTGACTGATTTGTTCATTGCAGCTTGTGGCTTGTTCAGCTTATGCACACACACACACACACACACTTTTATTTTATTTTATTTTATTTTATTTTATTTTATTTTATTTTATTTTATTTTATTTTACTTTACTTTATTTTATTTTATTTTATTTTATTTTATTTTATTTTATTTTATATGTGTGGGTGTTTTGCTTGCAAACATGTCTATACACTACATTTAGTTCCCTAGTGCCTGCATTGGCCAGAAGAGGGCATTGGATCTCCTGGAAGTAGAATTCCAGACTGTTATGAGCTGCCCCATGGGTGTGGGTATCAAACCTGGGTCCTCTGCAAGAGCAGGCAGTGCTCTTAACTGCCGAGCCCTCTCTCCAGCCGCAGCTTCCTTTCTTTATATAACCCAGGACTGTGTGCCCAGAGGAGGTACAGCGGGCTACACAGAGAAATCCTGTCTCCAAAAACAAAACAAAAAAATGGTATGTGCGTGTGAGCACAGGTGCACATTGGGGGCCAGAAGAGGGCAGGTGTGAGCCACCAGACATGGGGCTGGGAACCAAACTTGGTCCTCTGGAAGGGCAGCAAGTGCTCTTAACCGTCTCCTCAGCCCTGGTCTGGTTTGAAACTCTGCCTCAACAACAAGAACGTGGCATGCAGTCACCTCTGAATAGCCACACTGAACAGTAGTTGACACTTGACTTGTATACCTATAGTTAAGGAATTTTTGTTTTTGAGACAGGGCCTTACATAGCCTGGACCTTTAATTCTAGCACTCAAGAGGCAGAGGCGGACAAATCTCTGTGAGATCAAGGCCAGGCTGGCCTACTTACCAAGACCTTGTCTTGAAATGCATGTAACCTCACCTACCTAGGCCCTGTTTCTTAACTGAATTGCAGTTTGCATAAAGTGCACACCATTGTCGTCTGCAGTGTGACACTTTCCTGTGGTGAGCCACTTCTGTGCGTAAGAGGTCACTAGTTCCCTTGGAATAGCTCAGGTTCTGACTCTCCTGATTCCTGGCAGCATGGATGTGTTATGTTGTAGCACACATCGTGCCTGGGTTTCCTATAAGCTGGTTGGGTGCCTTGCCACTAGCTTCCATTCTGCGCTTTAATGATCAGTGGGAGAAAGGGTCTTTTTTTTTTTGTCCATGTTGAAAATCCAACCCACGCCCTCATGTATGCTAGACACAAACTGCTTACAGCCAACTTCAATTTCTGCCAGGGAGAGGGGGAAATGAGGCTCAGAAAGACGGATCCAAACGGATCGTGTAGAAGACTTAGCTGTTTTTTATTTATATTATTGTTATGATTGTTTTTATTAGTTTGTTTTTCAAGATGGGGTTTCTCTGTGTATCCCTGGCTGTCCTGGAACTTATTCTGTAGACCAGGCTGGCCTCGAACTCAGAGATCAGTCTGCCTCTTGAGTACTGGGATAAAAGGTGTGCTGTATCACACCCTGCTTTGTTTTTATTAGTTTTGAGATAAGGTCTTATAGTACAACCTAGGCTAGCCTAAAACTTGCTTTGTAGCCCAGGCTAGTTGTGAAGTCACCATGCAGCCTTGCCAGGCTGTCTTGGAACTCACAGAGATAAACCTGCCTCAACCTTCCCAGTGCTGGGATTATAGACGTTATAGCTCCTGTTCTCAGCTAGAATACTTAGCTATTACAGACCACTGAACTTCAAGAAATTCTAGTTTTCTTGTTTTTTAGCTGACTATATCCATAGAGGAAGGGGGCTTATCATGACCATGTCTAGCCATTGGCATCAGTTCCATGTTTTAGTGACGGGTGGGAGTAGGGGGTCACGATGTCCTCTTCTGGTACCTAGGGCTAAAGCCTCATAGTCCCTGAGCTAGTTCTGAAGAGCAGTTGGGCTCTCCTTTGTACTTAAGAATGGGTTCTTTCACAGGACCATTTGGTGATATGGTCTGTGTTGGGCATTCTTCTACAAAGCAGTAAAGTAGGTCTGGGGCTGGGGGAGGTGGCCAGAATCACTTGTCAACTCAGTGGGATATTGTACTTGATCCTGCATGGCATCCACAGACACAGCCGCATGTTGCCCCGATTACTCAAGCCAGATGGGAGCCACCCCATCTCACTGGGAAGACTCTCATGTTGAGGATTTATCTTTTCAGAGTGTTTGAATCTATTATTTTGCTAAATTTGGCAAAAATGTCAGTGTTAGATTATGTATAACTTATTAAGGGAATTCTTACACATTTGTTTACCTAATAATTTAGTACGTGTGAGAGAGTGGGCCACAGTGCATGTGTGGAGGTCAGAGGACAACTTGTGGAAGACAGTTAATCCATTTCTGACATGTGGGGATTGAACTCAGGTGATCAGACTTGGCTACGTGTGCTGTTGCCAACTGAGCCCTCTCAGAGGCCCAGAACCCTTTTATAAGAGGGAACTTTTTACTTTATAACCAAAGCTTCAGTTTGGTTGCCACGTGGGTTTTGAATGGTTTACATTTGAAGTGGCTTTGGTTTCTTATGTGGTCAATGCACGCAGACTAATACTTAACCATGTCAGATCAGAGCGTTACTGTCCTTCTCCTGTCCCTTAAGAGCTTTGGCTCAATTGTAAAGTGGTTGCCTGGTGTGTTGGAGGCCCTGGCTTCCATCCACAGTACTACACACATTCACACACACATGCAAACACGCACACTCACGCATACACACACACACAAACATGCACACACACAAATGCACATGTTGGCACATGACTGTAACCCCAGCTCTCAGGAAGATCATGAATTTGAGGGCAGTTTGGGCTGCTCTGTAGTGAAGCAGCCTGGGCTATATAAAAAGACCTTGTCTCAAAAACCAAAAAGGATAGCTTTGTTGCATGCCTTTAATCTCAACACTCAGGAGGCAGAGACAGATTCGAGGCCAGCCTGGTCTACACAGCAAGTTCTAAGAAAGACGGCGTATAAGAAGGCAAAGCTGAGCTTTATCAGTGGGGAACCCGAAGCTTAGAGCAAGGAACTGATTTCCAGAACAAGAGTCTCCAAAAGCACCAGGCTTCTTGAAGACAGCCATATTTGGGAGACAGTCTCTTTCCCAAAGCCAGTTTATAGGTCACTAGTGTTCCATTTCTGGCCTTTTCCAGATTCTAGGGGCCGCTGATGCGGACATAGGTACTGTTTTCTTTTCTCTTTTCTTTCTTTCTCTCTCTCTCTTTCTTTCTTTCTTTCTTTCTTTCTTTCTTTCTTTCTTTCTTTCTTTCTTTCTTTCTTTCTTTCTTTCTTTCTTTCTTTAGGTGTTTGCAGGGGCTCTCTGGGTTGATTTGGTGTCTGAAGCTGAGAATCCACAGAAACTGAAAGAAAGGATTGACAAGGGGCCAGATCCAGGACACTTGTTTGTTTGAATAGCATTTGTTTATTGAAATGTCCCATAAACACAACGTGATGCACAAGTCACAATGCCGGTCCGTCATTGTAGCAGTGAACATGCCCATTCTAGCTCTGACATCAATGCACAAAGCCTTTCCCATCTCCCTACAGAGCCCGGTCACTTTTTCTTCTTGATCGTTTTTGTTGTGGTTTTGGTGGTGGTTTTTGGGTTCTTTTTGTTTTTGTTTGTTTGTTTGGTGTGAAGTAGGAAAGAGCCTTACTGTGTACCCAGGCTGAGGGTACTGGGATGCAGGCTTGTGTGGCCACTCTGAGCTAGGCTCATTTCTGCCTCCCTTCCCTTCTGTCCCTGTCAGTGAGATTCATTCACCTTGTTGTGGGCTGCAGTTTCTCTTGCTGGATTGAGTTCACAGTATGGATTGTCCAATGAACTTTTTTCACCTGTTAATAGACACTGGGTAGTCTTTTGTTTGTTTGTTACTGCTTTACCCAGACAAGATTCTCTGTGTAGCCCTGGATGTCCTGGAACTCACTTTGTAGACCAGACTAGCCTCAACTGAGTGCTGGGATCAAAGGCCTGTAGCTGACTAAACACTGACTTTTTTTTTTAAAGTTGTGTGTGTGTGTGTGTGTGTGTATGTGTATGTGTAAGCCGGAGAAGCAAAGTCCAGTTGAGCATTGTACTCTCCCTCTACCCCCGTTGCTTCCAAGAAAGGTTTCTTCTTGAATTTTGGGCTTGTATTTTCTCAGCTAGACTGGAAGCCAGGAAACCCCAGCAATTCTCCTGCCTCATCCCCATCAAAACTGGGCTGTGAGATTACCATGACAAACACCCACCATTGTCTCAAGCTCTGAGTTAAACATCCTGGGCTTTCCCTCTGTCCCTGGACCCTGAGCACATGTGTCAGTCCCATTTTACAGGCAAGAGTGCTTAAGACGGAGTGGCAGGGTACACACAGCTGTGGAGGGTGAGGCCAGGCTTCTCTTCCCTCACCTGCAGAAGGCTTTTGTTCTGAGGTTGATGTGGGAAGGTTTGCTGAGGTTGGCTGCCTTTAAAAACACAGGGCCTGAGTTGCTACTGTCAGCTCGTTCCCCAGAGCCGTGTTTAGTCTGGTTGCTGTGGTTCCCACTCACGCCTTCCCAGCCTGCTGTGACTTTTCTGTGACAGTAGGCACAAGCTGGTGTCACTGACTGTAGCTTTTCTGAGTGAGTGCCCTGCCTCACTCTGCTCCAGCTGTAGCAAGACAGATTTGTTCAGACTTGTTCCTGTCAGAGTTACTCATTTCTTTACGTTGCTAAGGCAGGGTCAGATCACAAACTTCCCAAATGTCTGTTCCCCAAATGGGTCCTCTGTGCCACAGTAAGTTGGGAAGGTCCCTAAATGGCAGTCAGGGCTGAGTGTTCAAGTCCTGCTCCTGTTTCTCACAAGTCAGGTTTTCTCTCGGGGTCTCCGTTTCCTCCTCTGTAAAATGCTACCTGCCTACTTACTGAGGTGGGGTGAGTGGCCCCAGTGTCAACATGATTGTGAAGTGACATTTTGAAAAGTCTTATTTATTGTTTGTGTCTGTGAGTCTATATGTGCACATGGTGGGGGTGCATACCTGTGTGTACCTCCAGTGGCCAGAGCAGGGTGTCAAGTGTCCTGTTACTAGACACTTGCTCTATTGAGGCAGGGTCTTTCAGCCTGGAGCTCACATTTTCTTGGCTAGGTTGAAAGACAGGGAGCAATCAGCAATCCTCCTGTCTCTGCCTGCCCCACTTGGAGGGGAGGTTACAAGCACAGTACACCAGTTTCTTCTGTAGGTTCTGGGGTTCAAATCCTGCTCTCATCTTCATGATAACTTAGCTGAGAGGCTTTTTTTTTGTGGTTGTGGTGGGGGGGCATGAGTGGGTGGGGTCATTGAAGATAGGGTTTCTCTGTGTAGTCTTGGCTTTCCTGGAACTCCCTCAAACTTACAGAGATCCTCTTGCCTCTGCCTTCTGAGTACTGCCTCGCTCAGTCAGGGTTCCTAACTGCCAGGCCGCCTTTCTAGCTGTGCTTTTGTTGGCTAGGTAGTTAGTTGGTTTGTTGACAAGAACTGTGTATCTCAGGCTGGCCTCTCACCACAGGCTAGCCTCTCACCACATAATCATGGGTGAATTTGAACTTCTAATCCTCCTGCAAGGATACTATAACCTGAGCTACCCAGTCCCTCTATTTTTTCTTTACATTTTTTCACGAGAGAGAGAGAGAGAGAGAGAGAGAGAGAGAGAGAGATTGATTTTGTGTGTATATGTGTATCTGTATTTCTGTGTGTAGTATGTGTGTGTATGTTTGTGGTGTGTGTGTGGTATGTGTGTGTGTGTGTATGTTTGTGTGTGTATATATGTGTGTGCGTTTGCATATGTGTGTTGTGTGTGTATATATGTGTTTGTGTGTGTGTTGTGTGTGTGTACGTGTGTGTATGCATGCACATGAGCACTTGTGCTGTGGCACATGCATGTGGAAGTCAGGGCACAATGTAGATTTTAACCGTGCAGATTCTGTTGATCAAACCCAGGTATCAGACTTGACTGTGAGCGCTTCTCTCTCCTCAGCCATCTCACCGACCCTTTGTCAGAGGGTACTCCCTCTGTCAGCTGCAGAATCCAGAGGTAGATGATGGCCTTGGGGACAGGATTCCTGACAGGAGAGGAGCTGAGAGGAGCTGAGCTCTGGGTGTTTTAATGGTAGAACCCGCAACGTTAGGGAGTGGGGGTATTGAGAGGTACAGAGAAAGAAATCTTTACAAAGAAAGGGAAAAAAGAAGGAAAGGGGGGGCGCTGGAGAGATGGCTCAGTGGTTAAGAACACCGACTGCTCTTCCAGAGGTCCTGAGTTCAATTCCCAGCAACCACATGGTGGCTCACAACCATCTGTAATGGAATCTGATGCCCTCTTCTGGTGTGTCTGAAGAGAGCCACAGTATACTCATATATATAAAATACATAAATAATTTTTTTTTTTTTTTTTGAGACAGGGTTTCTCTGTGTAGTCCTGACTGTCCTGGAACTCACTCTGTAGACCAGGCTGGCCTCGAACTCAGAAATCTGCCTGCCTCTGCCTCCCAAGTGCTGGGATTACAGGCGTACGCCACCACCACCTGGCTATAAATAAATCTTTTGAGAGAGAGAGAGAGAGAGAGAGAGAGAGAGAGAGAGAGAGAGAGAG